CAGCCGTGTCCCGGAGCCCGGGGGAGCGCTGCGCAGGTGCTTAGCGCTGAGCTCTGCCCGCGGTATCGATGCGGTCAGACCGTACAGCTCCATTGTTGCTTGTTCCTGACTGGTTTGTTTGGAGAAGAACAACACGTAAGTGAAGTTTAGCCTCCGCAATGGCGAATTTGTTTAAACAACGCTGGGAATGCTGTTTTCATGTTGTGAGGTTGTGTGAGGTGTTCGCACAGCATGTAAGTAACACCCTGATTTTCCTGTACTATTTAGTGATACAGGATGCTGTTTGCCTTGGTGCTGTGTGCGGTTGTGCTAACAGGGAGCAGCAAAGTTCAAGATGATGAATGGATTGACCCCACGGATATGCTCAACTACGATGCAGCATCTGGAAAAATGAGGCCTTACAAGGTAGGAAACGAAAGGGTGCGTGAGTGTATGTCTCTGCTAAACAGCCCTTCGGCCACGTGCTGTTGGAAGATTTGCCTTAAATAGTGGCACTGGAAATCAGTAGAATTATGGTCTTTTATAAGTCTTACAAGGTTACGTCTGAATGTTTATGCAGAGAAGTGTTGTGTTCCCATTGCTTAAAACGAAAGGCTAAAAACTGGTTACCTCCGTTATTGTAGATCATGAGCTCCTCTCCTGAGGAGTTGCTGTGGCACTGATGAAGCCACAGGGCTGTGTCTTTTGTATCCGCAGCTGGCAGTTGATTTATGGAGCAGGTTGTGGCTTCACAGGGTATTTTTTTGTGCCAAGTACTTGGTTAAGCAGCTCTTGCTACTTTGTCAAGTAGAATGTTAAATATCTGGAAAATCAAGTTCCCAGCTGATAAAGTTAATGATTATATTTTACTTGAATTACCCAGTTTTATTTATGCCTTATATTACTATGGGCATAAACCCGTTTTATTTTATGAGGCTATTACGGTCAGTGGTGGTTTGTGATGCTGGACATCAGAGCTTTCAGGAGTATCAAAACGGAGACCGAGTGCTATATTGTTAATAATTCATGAACATTGAGCAGAAGATGAGATGGGAAAAGCTGGTTTTCACAAGGGGAATTGTCTTGGCTGTGTTGTATGAGGGGTGTATGTGAGAGGCGTGTTGTTTGTCGGGTACCTGTGTGCACACACGGCACTGTGAACTGTGGTGGGTTGTACAGGCACCCTTGACTTTTGTCACTTTCCAGTTTTCAAATTCAGTTTTGTGGTTTTGAATGACACCATTCTGGTGCCTCAGATGTAATTTCCTGAAGCTTAAAATACCGAACTGCATTATTGCTCTCCATGGGGTTCCCCTTCAGCCTCCACCTGCCCCAAGTGCACCTAATAGTCATTTGCATTCCCAAAATTCAGAGCAAACTTTGGAGTCTTTAAACGTGGTGCCCAAATGCTTCAGCTTTTAGAAAACAGTATAAGGAGTTTTACTGTTGTCTCACACAAACATAGAACTGCGTTTTAAAAATGACTGCTTTAGGTTAAGCCATCTTGTCAGGACCCTTTTCTGCTCTGCAGTGCAAGATTTCAGGTAGTCAGGGTGTGTGTCCACCCCAGTCCTCGGAACCAAACCATGTATCAGCACAAGTTACTGATCCGTGGTGCTGCGCTTCCTTCTGGAGACCTTCCTCGTTGTGCACACCCGGGTGTGTGGAAAAAGCTCTGCTGCTTCTCTGAGCAATCAACAGAAGAAGAGGCAACATGAAAAGGAACATGCGGCCCAGAACGGGGTTTTGTGTTTACCTGCTGGCTGGGCTGGGGCTGTGTCTGCTGCCCCTTTGCTTGCTGAGTCAGTTGTAGCCAGTGGGATTAAGCTAATCTGATGCACTGTGTGGCTCACCAGCCCTCGCAGAGGGGAAAGGGCAGCTGGGGGAGGACAGGGCAAGACCTCACCTCTTGCAGGCAGCGTGTGTTTAGGTAAAGCAGTTTCCTTCAGGAGCCTAAAATAACAGCAGAGAGGCAGCTGGAGTATTGCTGGGAGAGTACTGGCAGCAAAAGCCAACGCTCAGTTTTTAGCTCCTTTGCTTCTTTTAAAGTGATCTGACCATAGAAGCGTAACATGGGACGTCCATCAAGGTCTGTGATTCTAAAAATACATGTTTTTCTTTGTCATTTTAGGCAAACTACCACAAGACCGAGGATGAGACTGCAAATGCAGTCAGCACTGAAATCTTACCGAGTTGCTCCAGGGCAGTAGATTCCTTGCAACAGAAGGTTTGTTATGGAACTCCTGAGTATGTTTGAGCCTTGTATACTTTGTGCTTTCCAATGGTGCTTCCCTGGATAGCATGGAACAGGTGAATTGCTGGTGTAGTGTGTGAAAGACCATGCATTATGTAGGGGAACCTCTTCAATCAGAGTTAGTTAGAAGTAGTTGTAACTCGATTCCTAATTGCTGCTCTGCCTACTGAGGTTTGTTACCAAAATGATTTATAGTGTAACAGAAGTTGATAGGAGCCACAAGCTTCTGTCCCCTGGTGTTGGTGTCACACCATGCTGCTCAAGCAAAGAAACCTGGCTTTTCTTTTCCAAGTTGTTCAGTTCTGTTGGGTTTTAGGGGTGGGGTTTGGGCACAGAGATGCGTTTGTGGCGGACGCTCTGCACAGCGCTGCAGCTCTTGGAGGCTGCTGTAAGACCCCCAACACTGCTTCATGCTCTGACATCAGGGGGATGCCATGATCCTTGAGTAGCTACTGGGGCTAATAGCTACATCCCTCACCCATTTGGAGATCCAGTGGGGTGTGTAATCTTAATATTGGGTTAGTGGTTTTTTCCCAGTTCTCGGTTTTG